CTCTCTCTGTGTGTGTGTGTGTGTGTGTGTGTGTGTGTGTGTGTGTGTGTGTGTGTGTGTGTGTGTGTGTGTGTGTGTGTGTGTGTGTGTGTGTGTGTGTGTGTGTGTGTGTGTGTGTGTGAGAGATCTTGATGTGTGTGTGTCTCTAATTGGGGGATTGGCTGATAGACTCAAAAGCTTGGAACAGATGCAAAGTATCCCCAGTGCTCGTGATGCTGTCTCTTTTCACCCTGGCCAAGAGGGAAACAACATGAACAGAGATGGTAGGATGTGGTAATGGAGGGATATGTGTATGCACACCTACACTCATTCCACCTACTCTTCCTTCCTGGTTTGCTCTTTGTAACTGCAGCTCTTTTTCCTCCCCCTCCTGGATTTCCTATACATGTATAATTATTGTGTGTGTGTGTGTGTAGAGTTTGTGTGTCCTTGCCTCGGTCTCTGGGATGCCAAGTGTTTGTGAAGGTAGAGGTGTTTTTAATGTTCATGTTGATGGGTTAAGGAGAAGGCAGGGAAGTCGTACTGAGGCTGTTTCTCTGATTAGAAAGCATTGAATCATGAGAACGGGGAGCGATAAAGAGAGGAGAAGAGAGTCAGAGAGCGGTGCAGCTAAAAGTGCAGATTGACTGTGGATGGCGTCGCTTTCCCGCCTCACCCCTCGGTTTAGTTTTTGCAATATTAGCTATCTATCCCTGAGGGCAGTTACACACACATGAACACATACACACACATGAACACATACACACACACACATGAACACATACACACACACACATGAACACACACACAGGAGACTTAGCCTACTTTGATGTCACTGATAGCATAAATAAAAAAATGGAGTGGTAAAGAGCAACAACTTCAAAGATGGAGTTGACAAGATAGGAGCATTAACCCCCATCTCCCTTCCTCCTTCTCCTCTTCCTCTTCCCCCTCCTGATTTGCTCATCTCTCTTCTCTTATCTCTGCTTGATAAAGGGGTTCTTATGAAAAGAGACAGTGAACAAGGGATGGAACCAGAAAAAATGATGGAAGACTGTTGGGGGCTGAAGATAAAGCAAGCTGTAAAATGAGAAAAGGCGAGATAGATGGCAGCAACAGAGCCATTTGAAAATGTCCTTTAAAGTGAAAAGCCCCCTATCTCAGTCGGGTTCTTTAACAGTAGCCTTAAGCTGCTACTACCAGTGCAGTGTTAGCTAGCTTGTGAGTTATTAGGGTGCCATTAGACTTTCTACCCGATTATGCTGATGGCTCAGACCATGTCTTCAGGGTTTTCACACAGTCACACATATTAAAACGATCAATTCCCCCAAACTCTGCACACACTTGTGCAAACTTTCCTAACATACACAGTATCTTGTTTATGTCCAGGTATTTGAGCGTGCCCAGTTTGTGCTTGGCAAAGGTGTGTGTGAGCTCTGTGTCGACACGTGCCCAGCTTTCATTGCCGCTGGTGTAACATGGCCCCCTGTTCCCTAGCTGGAGACTGTAATGTGGATAACCCAGTGGCATTTACACCCAACTCGATGGTATTTACAAGGTTTGGTGAAGCAGGCCATGCTCCACTTTCTGACCTTAATTTGGTGTGTGTGTGTGTGTGTGTGTGTGTGTGTGTGTGTGTGTGTGTGTGTGTGTGTGTGTGTGTGTGTGTGTGTGTGTGTGTGTGTGTGTGTAAAATGCTACTTGGTCAATCACAGTTGGTTTGCTCCTATGTCTCTGTGCTCATGGAGGTGTGTTTGCATGCCGAAGCCCCGGCTCCATTACTCAGTATCTGCATGTGTCGTGTTCTGTGAGACGTGGGTTCTGCTTCGCCCTGCAGGCACCTTAATTTTTCACCATACTGTGTGCTACACTACACTGCACTGCATGAAACCGTATGTCTACACCCTCTCCTGCTCTCTCTCTCCTCCCTCTCTCTCTATTCATCTACCACCCCCGTCCTCATACTCTCCCACTACAACCACCACCCACTCCTCATCGTCGCACACACACAGTCACACACATACACACACACACATACAGCTAATCAAAGCAAGGAGCTCTCTAGATTAGCACTTGAGAAAACTCCCTAAAGACTTTCCTTCATTTTGACCATTTTCAGGTACTCTGTTTCCTCCCGCACCTCCTTCCTCATAGCTTTGAATTTTTAACCTCCCGATTGAATAAGTTATGTGTCCATCCTCGTGGGGAAAGGAAAGTTGGAGGGAGGGCAAGAAATGAAGTAAAGGAGAAGGCGGGGGAGGCAGAAGGGAAAAAGGTTGTCCCTAAACATGCTTTCACATTTATCCCCTTAAAAAGTCCACTCTGTATGCTCAATAATGCATGGCCATCGCTCATTCCCCTCCCCCTCCTCTCGCCCTCCTCTTCCTTCATCTCCTTCATCTTGCTCCCGTTGGTTCCCCAAGTGCTCATCACTCCACCCAGCAGATTAACTGCAGGGGGAAACTGAGACTGGCAAAGCCGGGTGATGGTAGCAGGGCATCAGGGACTAACAGTAAAAGAAAGGGAGAGAAAGCAGATGAGTAATTTGTCGTCTTGTGAATGGAGTTATTATTTTATTTTAAGTATTGATCTGAGTGAGTGGGCTTTGAAGTTGGACCATTTCAGAGGAGCTGAACATTGAAGTTAGAAAAAAAAACCCTAACTAATTCTGTCCTGGCCTGAACAAAGCCTGTGGTGTGAGCAACACTCCATTGAAAACTTTAGTAATTTGTTTGCTTGTTCCTGAGCACTTCCAGAGACTAAACAATTCCGGCCTTACCCCAAATCTGCCTGTTCCTGTTTCATTGGAGCAAAGATGTGAAATATCAGTGAAGACACAGAACAAACTTGATGTGTAGTGATGTTAGGAGTCAGTCGGTATGAGGACTTGAATAAATGCCATTTCAATAAGATGAAATGACACCATCCATTACAAGCCCTAATATCCAAGTAATGCGAGTCACATGAGTTGCATGTATACTTTCTGACTTTAGATTAGTATGTACTTCAAAGTCTTTTGTCTGCAGAGAGCAGAGGGAACCTTTCAGGACTCGTTGTGCATGCACACTGCAGAAACTCCCGTCTGTTCGGCATGCTACACCAGAGAAAGCTAAAGATCTCTTCAAGAATGCTTTTTAAGTCTCTTGCGAAAAGTTTTTGAAAAACAAAGATGGTTTTTTTGCTTTTAAAGTTTCATGTTGATTTTGACTTTCAAGTTTTAACTTCACACCGTTTTTTTGTTTCTAGCCTCAAAGTATGCAGTGGTTTTAAAACAGGAAGCCCAGCACACCAGCAATGCAATAATAATTCTAATAATAAAATAAACATCAGGTATTGGCAGGCTGTGAAAAGAATATTATAAAAATCATTAAAGTTTGGAATTTTCTATTGAAAGACGCACATTTTTTGAGCAGAATTTAATCAAATAAAAAGCTAAGATTACACAGTGTTATTGGAAGTTACTCTTTAAGGATATTCCGGGCTGTAAAGCACTCTGCGTAGAACTACAAACATGCTGCCTTCCTTTACTTCAAGGCTCTGAAAAATGTGGGTAGCCCTTGATGCAGCACTTCTGCTTTATAGGAGAAAGTTACTGAAAATATTGTTGTTTGTCGACTGGCGAGGTAGTTGGCCAACCCAAGAAAGACATCTTTCTGGTAGGTGGGGGGATGATAACAAGTATGCTGCTTGATTGAAGCGAGTTGAAGGAAACAAACATAAAGGCATCTGCATTGTTTGGCAGAAAACAAATTAACATAAAGTGGCGGATGAGAGTAGCAGGTTTCAACTTGAATTCTGAAACTCAAGACTGCAATGAGAACCCTGTAGATTTATATTTGTCAATGGAACGTTTCAATAATAAGGCTTTTTTAATTTGGTTTATTGACTATGTTCAATTACTCTGAACTTTGTTCCTAGTACTATTCTGAAAAAAGTGCGAGAGATCACTGTCAAAGATGCAGATGGATGGAGACTAATCTTGGTTCAGTAGACGAGAAGACGGATGGCGTTATTGGGGGGAGAGTGAAGGAGAGAGGCACAGAATGAACGAGGCTCAGAAGAAGGACGAATTGAGACAGGAATGATCTGTGTAAGAGTGAAGAGAGCACTGAGGGAGGAAGGAATGACAAATGATCAAAAGGTGGAGAGATGTGAAGCGACAAGAGTGATTGAGGAGTTGGAGAGTGATGTAAGGTCAAATGAGGAACAAAGCCAAGTTAGGTGAGAGATCGTTTGAGTGAGAAAAAAGGGTTCAGGTTGGTCGTAGTGACCTCATGCTGCAGGAGAGATGACACGGCTGCTCTTTCCAAAAGGGGACTTGACTACCATCTTTTCCTCTCAGTAAACTCTGAGACGGAGAACAGACTGAGCTCTTTCCCTGCTTTTTCATCTTTGTCTTTTGCTCGGTGCCGCCCTTTACCTATGCTTCTCCTCTCTGAAGACTGGAGCGCGTGGCAGCCCGCATTTCAACGCCTCGCTCTCCTGACAATGTTTGACTCTGCAGGGTCTGTGCGTCCTTCCGTCTGTTCTCCCAATAGGTTATTTAGAGCTTAGTACTTTACTGTACAGAGTTAGTGGTCAGTCAGCACACACACACACACACACACACACACACACACACACACACACACACACACACACACACACACACACACACACACACACCAGGATGTCTTGCCCCTAGCCCTTTCATAGCAGCTCATCATACCCAAGGCCATTGATACAATAATTCTAACACCTCCATGACACCATACAGTTGGGAGGGAATTAAAAAAAGTGAAGGCCATGCCAACTCTGTCAGTTTTTGTAGCCGTCACATAGACCCTCTATCCATAATCCACTTTTCTTTCCATTACAGAACCCACTGTACTTCTTTTCAAAACATGTTCTATATCCAGCTTTAATAGTCATCTGACATTTAGAAAGTTACCAAGATGCAAGTTCTAACAAAGTCTCCCCTTTCTTCTATCTCTTTTTGAATATTACCACCCCCCTCCCTATTTCTCTATCCATCTCTCCAGCCAAAAAGGAGCAAGATGGCGGGGATGAGAAGAAAACGACGCACAAGAAGAAGGTGAAGGAGCTGAAGATTCTTGACTCCAAGACCTCGCAGAACCTTTGTAAGTCTCTTACCAACGGTTTCAAAGTCTGACACCAATGGCGTGGCTCTGTAAATTCATTCAGTGAACAGCTTAATTAAAATGTCATCAATAACATTTGTTTAATTAAATTGTGTTTTATTTAATAACTGCTTTTAATTGTGTTTGTTTAAACAGCCATTTTCCTGGGTTCGTTCCGTCTTCCTTATGTGGAAATGAAAAACGCCATCTTTGAGGTTAATGAGAAGGTCATCACAGAGTCCATGCTTCAGGTACAGAGCTCAGATCTGCATGTAAAACTATAATACAAGTACAATCAGCTCATAATAGAGCCTACAGCAAACCTCTGCCTTGTTTCATTTAATTTGATATTTCTTAACCAGGAGGTTGAACTCCATTATCTGTTTTACAACGGAGACCTGGCAGCGTAACATAGGCATCTCTAAAATTCTTCACACATTGATCCTTAAGGATACTGCTCAATAGCTAATTGTCCTTCAGTGTGCATGCCCAGACACAGGTTGAAGAAAGTGGTCAATAGAGTTTCTTTTCTGTCAACCAATGTCCCTCAAGGAGTAGTTTGAGACACTTGAAGTGTCTCTAGATCCTTTCATGTATATGTTGCCTTTATTGTCACCTAGAACCTGATCAAACTGCTGCCAGAAGCAGAGCAGCTGAAGGTCCTGGGAGAAATGAAGGATGAATACGACGACCTGGCTGAGTCCGAGCAGTTTGGAGTAGTGGTGAGAAAACATGCACACAAATCAAACATCACATCATTTTGTTTTTTGTAAGCATGTCCCAGCTGACTAGGGCCTGACTGACCCCAACCATTGCAGGGACATCAGTGTAATGAGCCATAGACAAAGTTGAAATACTGATATAGAGTCACACAGTCGTCAGTCATTTAGACACAGAAGACTTCATGCTGCTAAACACAGACTTCTTTGTTCATCTGTGGTAGATGTGAGTAATGGATGAAATCCCCTTCAGCCACACACAGCTACACACACAAGCGCATAATCTATGTTGGGTAAAAACACATCAGGAGTCCCTCTTTTCTCTCTTCAGATGTCCGGCATAAAGCGGCTGATGCCACGGCTTCAGGCCATCCTGTTCAGGCTGCAGTTCGAGGAGCAGATGAACAACATCAAGCCAGATGTGGTGTCTGTGACAGCGGCCTGCGAGGAGCTGAGTAAGAGCCAGTCCTTCACCAAGCTGCTGGAGATCATCCTCCTCGTAGGGAACTACATGAACGCTGGCTCCCGCAATGGGAAGGCATTTGGCTTCTCCATATCATACCTGTGCAAGGTAGGGAGGTTTAGACTTAGTACACACACACACACACACAAACTCACACACACATGTATTGAGTGGACTGGAAAGGCCATCAGTCTTACTTTTCTTGTATTTCTTGAAGACCAACTAGAAATGCTAGTAAATTACATAAAACTGGGTCTCATACGCGTTAAGCCGTCACTCAACAGGGCCTTACCTGCAGTGTAAACACAATGACAGTATGAAGTGGAATCAATTCATCATTCATATCTTTGGTTTCACTTTGGGTGCCCTCCACAAAAGCAGAAACTTTTTCTGTGTCATATTATTCCACTTCATGCAGGTGAGTAACATAAACACACATGTACATAGTCAATAACAAACAAAGGTCTCCCCCTTTGTATTTCACTATAAGCTATATGTATGTAGTATTGGAGATAGTTATATATGTTGTACACATGGCACTATAGCTCCTCTATCAGTACAGTGATGCTACACCAACTTAGTGGACCAACAGTGATATCTAAACTGTATGTATATAATGTGATAATGTAAAATATAGGCAAAAGAACACAAGTCTAGAAATGCTGGATGTTTGCAAACCCCTTATCTGACTCTGAAAAACACTGACAGTTGTGCAGACATGAAATACTTTTGATGAATTGTTATTTCACGGTGCCATTTTTAAACCAATCATCCTCCCAATCAGCTTCGTGACACCAAAACAGCTGATCTGAAGCAGACACTGCTCCATTTCCTGGCTGACGTGTGCCAGGAGCATTACCCAGAGATCATGGGCTTTGCAGACGAGCTCGTCCATGTGGAAAAGGCCAGTAGAGGTACATGGGTCATTTAACTGATCTCTATCCATCGCTACATAGCATCATCCATGAAAAGCCCTGAATACGCATTACAATCATTTTTATGAGTACAGTGTGCTCTCATTGTCATAGTCATTTGAAAAACCAACAGTCCATGATGAGCATTGTATGCACGTGCTCTGTGTCAATAATGTTTCCCTGCAGTTTCGGCAGAGACACTCCAGAAGAACCTTGAGCTAATGGGCCGTCAGATCAAGACACTGGAAAAAGACCTGGAAACCTTCCCTCCTCCACAAAATGACAAGGACCTGTTTGTGGAGAAGATGGCAATATCCTCTTTATTTAAATGACATATTTCATAGTTATCAAGTTATTCAGTAGTTACATAAAACAGTCTGTTTATAAAAGCATTAAAGCAATAGATCCTGTCATTATAAATGATTGTCATGGCTTGTTAGCATACAGAGATATATGTTGTATATTCCTTAACATCGTGTTTCCACATCTTTGTGAGCTCTGCCCATGAGCAGCATGAGAAGCTGGATCTGCTGCACAAGAATATGGAGAAGCAATACAGCGACCTGGGACAGTACTTTGTCTTTGACCCCAGAAAAATCTCAGTGGAGGAATTCTTTGGAGACCTCAACACCTTTAAAAACATGTTCCAGGTGTGTTTTTCTGTGTGAATGATGTAACTCAAGCTTGATCTGCCGGTGTGGTTCTCAATCAAATCTAGCTCTTGCACATAGAGTTCAAGGACATACACACAAGTGAAAAAAATGTAGGAAAGAGGAAAAGATGACGGACTGAATGTCAAATCAATAAAAGAAAAAAGGCTGTGTGTTTGTATTGACAATAATAAAGAATGAGAGCGACAGTTTACACATCAACTGTAAATGTGCCGTTTGAAAGGGCTCCCGCAGGAGGTGACCTGTTTTACCAGTTACTATGGACAACTGCCATTCCCTGAGTTTGAAGTTATGTTTATACACACACATCAATCAGAGCCATCATTCACCTGGCTTTGAGTTTTTGTTCTAAAAATCACTTTAAATACTTTTTCCACTTGTCCTCACCAGACCCCAAACTCAATGTAAGCACACACACTGTCTTTATACCTGTTCTGTGTGTTTCCCCACCAGCAAGCAGTGAAGGAGAATCAGAAGAGGAAGGAGGCTGAAGAGAAGATCAAGAGGGCCAAACTGGCCAGGGAGAAAGCAGAGAAGGAGAAGGAGGAGAAACTCAAGAAGAACCAGCATCTCGACATCAACACAGGTCACACTTGCTTTATCATTTCTGTTTGTGTCTGAGAGAAAGACAAGCACTCCCTGTTTCTCAGTTTGCATTTCCCTCAGACTCCAGCTGGGGGCAGTCAGAGTCCACACTTCTGTGGAATATGTGTGTGCGTGTCTTTGTGTGTGTGTGTGTCTTTGTGTGTGTGTGAATGCAGAACCCATCAGTATTTATAGACCGTAGTTAATCTAATATTGATGATCTGTGTTTAGAAGTAAAACAATTACAACAGGCTCCTCAGATACAAGGAGGATGCACATAAGGATCCGTGCGACCTCTGTTCACTCCTCTGGTGAACCGGGGATTTGCTCGCATAAAGGAGAACTGAAAGAACGCCTAAATCTCTTTATCGCAGGAAAACACATTTTCACTCTTCTATGAGATATCCTTAAATAAAGGCCAGCAGCATATTGTCCCATGTAACACACACACACACACACACACACACACACACACACACACACACACACACACTTCCCCCACAACTGTCCCATCTACTACCTAAGTCTCCCCCTAAACCCACACATATACTATAATATACTAACGCAAATGTTGTTTCTTTTAGTTTTTGTCTTGTTTCTCTCTTTCACACACAAACAGAAACAAGCGCACACACACACACACACACACACACACAAACACACACTCACACTCACACACACACACACACACACAAAAAACTATGATGGTCAGTGGAGTGTGAAGGTAATAAACAGTGTATCCAGGTGTAGGGCCATCTAGCAGCAGTACACCCGTTTCTCCAGTTGAGGGCACTGTGACTCCACACATAAATAGTACCCACTATGAAGGACCCACACTTTCTGCCTCCTGTAGACAATACATTTAGATTTAAAGATACACGCTACTCTATATCACTAATTTACAGTATAATAATACTTTTTAATGAGACGCAGAATAAATATCTAATTGAGTTTTTGGTTTTGAATTCAAGGCGAATAAAGAAAGGTTAGTTTAGGAGAAGTAACACAGTGGTAGTGAGTAAGTAAGTATAGAGCTCTGCCAGTTTAAAAATGATTTTAAAAATCTAAATTCAGAACAAACATTTGCAACCCACCCGTCTCCATGATAACTCATTGACAAGCAATTTAATACCCTGACTAATAATAACAGTCAAAATCCTCAAGTCCCCTATGTAAGTTCATTATGTTAAAACATTGCTGATTGGACCTTAATGAGTTGTACATGGTGCTATGCTGACAACAATAAATGATAGACACATGGCTATATGATTCTACATTTTTTTATTTAATAAAAACGAATATAAGTACAAGTATACTTACCTACACTTTAACCATCTTAATTGTGAAACATAAAAATGTAGGCAAATTATGATCTATACATGTTAACAAACTTATTTTTATGGGCTTGAGATAAAAAAATAATTGATTTGAAGCCTTCATTAAAATTAAAATTAAATCAGATGCCTGGTCCCCTTCAGTCTTTGTTTAAAGTGTGTTAATTAATGAACAGAAGGGCAAGACAAAAGGACAAGCTACATTTTGTATCGGAGATTCTCTGGATATTTTTACCTATTCAAATATTTACATTTTTTATTTTGTTTAAGCAAATAAAGTGTGTTTTTATACAAATTAGTTCAGTGCAGAACATTTGAGTCGCAGTTACACTTTTCATGCACCAGGGGAGCGCAAGTGAGCAGGGTCTTAGCCACTCCCACAATCCCTCCCCCTGCATCCTGGCCCTCCCACATCCTGCCCCCGTCCCCCCTCCTCCCCGCCCCACCCTGCCATCTGGTTCTTTTCACACAATGACACACAAACACAAGCGCACATGCACATACACACACACACACAGTCAGGAATTTTTTTTTCTCCTCATTTCCTTTCACAGAGAAAAACAGGATGAAGGGGCTCTTTCAAAACCCAAGGTTACCGTGGAAACCCCCTTATTCTTCTTCTGTCAAACCTGCTTACATTGTAACAAACACACACACACACTGCTATAGAGTGACAGAATGTTGGACATTTAAAGTTTAAAGGGACCGAAGCTACAGCTGTCCTGTCTGGCTAGTTTTGGCCTTCTGTTGAGTTCAGACAAAGAACGTTATGCCCCCCTCCCCTTTATTTTTTTCTTTGTCTCATTCCCCTTTTAATGCTCATACTTTCTTATAGCATTCTGAAAGTAAAACTTATAAAACCAAACACACGCTCTTATTAAGTTTCCTTGAAATGTGGTTGGTCTTTGTTGACGTCAAAAGTTGGCAAAAGATTTGTTTGTGCATATGTGGTTCTTTCAATTGGGCAACCTCAGCAGCTTTTTCCAAAGAACTGCTCACCCCAAAAATATTGATGTTGAAACTGTAACCCTCTCCTCTGTTCCAGTGTAGACAATCTCCAGCCATGGAATGCTGAAGGGAAAAAAGTTAGTTTGAAGTTATATAAAGTGAATGTTTTGCTTTTCTCCGATCCCGCCACCAGAGGTCCCGTGAAAAACACATGTGGCACCAGATATACAATAGAGCACATCATCTGAAAGCTTTTAGTGGGTTAAAAATAAACTAAAGCACTCCACACGCAGGGAGTGGTGATGTGAAGATGAAAAGACCACATGAAAAGACAGAAGAGATTGAAAAGAGAAGAGGCTTTGGGAGAGGACTGAAACCATTCTTTAAAGTGAGGCTGCAGTTCAGAGTGGTCAGGGATGAAAGTGTGCTTTCTTCTTCTCTTTGTCTCTTTGTGTCTACCTTACTTGCTTTATATTTATTTCTTTTCATCTTTCCTTTTTTTTTATTTCCTTTCTCCAAGCATGGCTTCCTATCACCTACTCCTCCACAAATTTCTTCCTTTTAAGGAGTCAGGGAATGAGAGAGACAGGGAATAGGAGGGGGGGTGAAGGACACACTCAGGTCTGCTGACTGATAAACAGGCTCCTCTTTGTGCAGAGACAGACGCGCGCACACACACACACACACGTGCATACACACACACACACACACACACACACACACACACACACACACACACACGTACACGTACATATGTGTACACACACACACACACACACACACACGTACACGTACATACGTGTACACACACACACACACACACACACACACACACACACACACACACACACACACACACACACAGTTATATATTGACAGAGACCCCTGCATGACTTGGTTCCTCATGATTCTGAGAACCCCTGCTATCCCTCCTCTCCCCTTCCATTTTCTTTCTTTCTTTCCACTTAATTAAGAACAGACGTTACAAATGGAAAATGTAGTTATCCATTCATGACGCACACATGCTGCTCTCCGTGCACAGCAACACACAATAACACAGACCTAACACCCCCCCTCATCTCTCAGTGCCGAGCAGCTGTTGGGGAGAGGGG